TGGGATCATATTCGATATGGACTGGTTGGACGGAAGGGTCTGTTTCTGTGCTGTGTGGTTCTATGACATGAGGCCATGAGCCTGAACTGGTACCTTGGAGAGAATTGGGATAATGTATTTTTATCACAAGAGGTGGGAGAGTGCGCCGGATGGAGATTTACAGCTTTTTGGGGAACGTGAGGCGGTTAAATGATCCCTGGGAATTCAAGTCCGTCAGTTCTGAGTCTCTCTTCCATGACTTGGTAATCTCCGTTTCTGCTCTCAGAGCAGGAAGGGAACCACCCAGTTACCGAACCTACCGCACACACCGGTGGCTTCATACAGAACAACGAAGGGTCGGACTTCTGCTATCGATCACATTCCAGGAGCCTGGGAGCGCGCAATTGCGTGAAAATAGTCTGCAAAGGTTCAAAAAATAAACTGGTTGAGATTCTATTTCTCAAACGCTGGAAGCTTTATCGCGATGCCCGTGTGGTCAGTTGAAGGTGTGAGTGAGAAGGCTGTCTGCCACCAGGTTTTACTTAAGGCAAAGTTGCATTTGTCTTTATGTGATTTCTGGTGTAAATAAAGTCTAACACCATGCACAATATTTCTCTCACGTAGTGTGTGTTTTTACATTGATGATGCGGACCTCTTGATCAACCAGGGTGTCGAATCAACTCCTGGCCCTGTAGATGATGGTTAACAAAACATTTGCTTGATCCTGTAGCAGGGACAGTGTTTGTCCTACCGCTACAGGTAGATCTAAAATAGATCCATTTGTCTCTGTTCCATGGAGTCTCCAGCCCAAGGCCAGGCCAGTCCTCTCAATTGGTCTCTGCCAATACTTATGCTCCACCCATCCATCTTCAACTCCTCCCATCAGCATCTCCTACCATTCCTTTTCCTTCCAGCTTCCCCCTTATAAATGTTACAGAAACGAACTGAATCTCCTCTTGTCGCTCTGGCTCCTTTTCCAAATGACATTAAGAGAGAGAGAGAGACTTTTTGCTGAGGGTGCGCACAGTTCTGGCCACCCTGCTATAGGAAGGGTGTTATTAAAAGATTTAGAAGAATGTTACGGAGACTGGGGGGTGGGGGCGTTGGAGTTAAAAGGAGGGGCTAGAAAGGCTGGAACTTTTTCCCACTGGAGCATTAAAGGCTGAGGGGTGACCTTAGAGGTTTATAAAGTCATGAAGGGTGTATAGAAGGTGAATTTAAGATCTTTTCCCCCGGGATAGGGGAGTCCAAAACTAGAGGGCATAGCTGTAAGGTGAGAGAGGAAAGACTTAAAAGGGACCTAACTTTTTCCACACAAAGGGTGGTGTGTGTATGGAAGGAGCTACCAGAGGAAGTGATGGAGGATGGTCCAGTCACAATATTTAAAAGACATTTGGACAGAAACATGAATAGGAAGGGTTTGGAGGGATATGGGCAGGCAATTAGGACTAGTTTAGTTCGGGAAAACTGGTTGGTGTCGACGTGTTGGACCAAAGGGTCTGTTTCTATGATGTATGACAGTGACTCGATGGCTGCCACCCCTTTCCATAAAGGGGACATCGATCCAATCATTGAAAAGTCCAGAAAGTCAAATTTTTTTTTTAAAACCATTTTTTATTAACAAAACAGACCAAAAAGTGACTTGAGGATCGAGAATAGGCAGAGTAAGGGGATGTCAGAGCATAAGACATCGGAGTAGAACTAGGCCATTCAGTCCATCAAGTCTGTTCCACCATTTAATGAGATCATGGATAATCTGATCATCCTCAACTCCTACTTTCCTGCCTTTTCCCCATAACTCTCGATTCCGTTTCTGATTAAAAATTGAATATCCTCGATGACTTGACAGCGCCCCCCCCACCCCGGCTGTGGTAGAGAATTCCCAACAGATTCACTCCTCCTCGGAGAGAAGAAATTCCTCCCCATTCTCCGTCTTCAGTGGGCGGCCCCCTCACTCTGAGATGATGCCCCTCTGGTCCTAGACTCTTTGGGGAAAGCACATTTCTGCATCTCCCCTGTCAAGATCCCCCCCCAAGAATCTTGTCTGTTTCAATAGGGTCGCCTCTCATTTTTCCCAACTCCAATGAGTACAGGCCTGACCAACTCAACCTATCCTCATAAGGACAGTCCCTCGGGACCTGAGGTCAGCCAAGTGAAACTTCAACGCTAATATCTCTTTTCTTAGATAAGGGGCTCAAAATTGGTCAAAGCTGTACAGCTTTAGCAAAACCTCTTACTTCTGTACTGCATTCCCTTCAGAATAACGGCCAACATTTCATTTACCTTCCCGATTACCTGCTGAAATTGTGTGTTGGCATTTAGTGATACATGGACAAGGACCTCCCATATCCCTCTGTTCCATAGCTCTCTCCATTTAAATAACGTTCAGCTCATCTCTTCTTCCTGACAAAATGCATAACCTCATATTTCCCCATGTTGTATTCCATCTGCCATGTTTTTGCCTACTCGTTTAACTTATCTATATCCCTTGTCAGACTCTGTCATCCTCAACACTCATCTTCCCTCCTGTTGTGTCATCTGCAAACTTGTCTGTAATATATTCTCTTTCCTCAACTTATTACTATATTGTAAATAGTTGTGGTCCCTGATTCCTGTGGCACTCTGCTTGTGCAGATTGTCATCCTGAAAATGTCTTTATCCCTTTATCCAAAATCTGTTCCTATAGAAGACAGTGTTCTAGACCCAAATGGTTTTTCCTTAGCACCTCTGTCCCCTGTGACTCCCTGTTTTGGACACAGGGGCATTGATCCCTGGGGTAGTGTCACCATCAGCCCTAATCATAGACTCATACAGCATGGAAACTGACCCTTCAGTCCAACCAGTCCATGTGACCCTAATACCAAACTAAACTCGTCCCACCTGCCTGCTCCTGGCCCATGTTCCTCCAAACCTTTCCTATTTGTGTACTTATCCAAATGTCTTTTAAACGTTGTAACTGTCCTCAGGGAGTTCATTCCACACACAAACCACTCTGTAAAGAAAAATTTGCCCCTCATGTATTTTTAAATCTCTCTCCTCTCACCTTAAAAGAATGCCCCCTAGTTTTGAACTCCCCCACCTAGGGAAAAGACACCTACTCATTTACCCTATCTATATCCCTCATGATTTTATAAACCTCTAAGGTCACTTCTCAACCTCCTACGCTCTAGTGAAAAAAGGTCCCAATCCATCAAGCCTTTCTTTATAACCCGAACCTTCCATTCCTGGCAACATCCTGGTAAATCTCTTCTGAAACCTCTGTGGCTTAATAATAACCTTCCTATAACTGGCCCCTCTTGTGCCTAGATTGGTTGGAGGTCTATTTCCCAGTCAGTCCTGCAGCACCTTCCTGTCTCTCTTTATTGGCACCGCATCCAGGGCAGTTTCCCAACTGCTGTGGAAGCCCTGTTATTTCCAGCTAAAATCCCCCTTCGCTATCTTGCTCTCACTGACATGAGCAATACCAACACAGAAAGGTGTCTGTGGTCGAAACTAAAGTCAAAAAGTTGTGGCTGTCAACCAACACTTCAACAATTTGTCACCAAAATGCGTGTTATTCACACCATTTTTTTTTTTAAATTAATAGATTGAGGCACCGCAGGCAAATGGTGATGGATTTTATAAACCATTTCATTTATAATTTATAATTCATATATTGTCATAATTTCGTAGCTATTGTTATGAACCAGACCAAACGCCCTGCAAATATATCAAGTAGATAGCCAGGATGCTAACTTTATCTTATTTAAAGGCAAGTATAAGATGCTGTGTTCCAGATTTGTCACACTACTCGGCTTTAAACAAAACACACTTTATTCTTACCCCCAGTTAAAATATAAATTAAATAAAGATGAATTGGTGTAACTTAAACTCACTTGGAAAATGTAACTGAATAATAGACTATTTAACGACTAAACAGCAACTGTTCCAATATAGTAACATCCCATAAACACACCTTTGGCACATGCAAAGTCAGTAAAATAGATAGTCTTGCATGTGATTCTGGCAGGAAGAGAATGAACCCAAGCTTTTTAGCCGTAGCAGGGAGACGGGGATGGGGAGACAGAGAGAGAGAGAGAGAGAGAGAGAGAGATGAGAGATCTTCCACAGCCAACTTCCAAACCCCGCCTGTTGAAAGTTAAACTAAACCCTGGTTCTGTGGGAGCCTGCCTCCACCCATTCATGCTGCTTATATTGTTCCAACTTTAAAAGAAAACCCAAGCTGTTTGCTCTATTGACTTGGAACAGACTGCTCGGCACATCTATCTCAGCCTCTCTTCGTTTAAAAACGAAGGGAAAATATATCTCTTGAAGCCACTGTATTGTCACACTGTCCCTTCATGATTTTACATTGTCTGTAGTGTAGGTCATGTCTCTACTGGCCTTTGAGTCAGAATATTGGGTGCAGTGAGCACACAATGCAGCCTACTCTACACTGGAGAAACTAAACGCAGACTGAGGAACAACTCCAGCATGACCCTGACCTTCCCATAGCTGGTCATTTTAACAAAGCCTCCTGCTCGTATGCCCACGCATCTGTCCTCAGCGTGCTGCAGTGCTCCAGTGAATCACAGCCAACCTGGAGGAACAACATCTCATCTTCAGACTAGGCACCTCTGGACTGAATACGGAGTTCAACACCTTCAAATTATGAACCAACTCCCATTCCTTCCTAGATAACAACGTGTAGAGCTGGATGAACACAGCATCAGAGGAGCAGGAAAGCTGATGTTTCGGGCCTAGACCCATCTTCAAAAATGGGGGAGGGGAAGGGGGTTCTGAAATAAATAGGGAGAGATGGGGAGGCAGATAGAAGATGGATAGAGGAGAAGATAGGTCAAAGAGGTGGGGATGGAGCCAGTAAAGGTGAGTGTAGGTGGGGAGTTAGGCAGGGGATAGGTCAGTCCAGGGAGGACGGACAGGTCAAGGGGGCAGGATGAGGCCTCCCATTCCTTCCTTTTCTTTTAGCTTCAGTTGTTACATTCTCTGTCATCATGTTTCCCCTCCCACCCACACCACCAGCCCAGTTGTTCTTTCCAGTCTGGCACCATCATTCTACCATTCTCACATTCCAATCAGTTAAGGTGGGGACTCGGAATCCCTTGCCACAGTCCCCACGTTTCCATGGTGTCTCTATGCTGCTGCTGTCCTCGCGTTTCCTATTTGTGAAGATCAGTTGAGACTTTATTGAAACACAGAGGCCCACAGACAGTCTCTCCCCCACAGTGAACGATACAATGCTTTCTCAGGCTCCATAACTGCTTAAAGCACTTTCCACAGTGCGTACAACAGAACACTCTTACTTGGGGGTGTCTCGGTGCTTTGCCTTCTTAAAGCCTCCTGAAACAGTTAAGTTGAATCCAGCAGGAGAACCGCCGCAAAAGATATTCAGCTCCAATAAATGGAGTGACTGTCAGATCTTGACACTAGCGTTGTTTCGAGATGCGATTCCTTCCCTTTGAATTTCCTGCAAAAGGAATTCACAAAAGCCATCACTAGAAGCAGGGGCGATCAATGATTTCAAAATTAAATTGGATGGTCGCCTGATAGAAATAAAATGCGGGGGATTTGGAGAGGGAGGGACTAACTGGATTGCTCCAGAAAGAATCAGCATGGACTCGAGCTATTGAATGGACTCATACAGTATTGAACAAAAACAAAGTTGCTGGAAAAGCTCAGCAGGTCTGTCAGCATCTGTGAAGAAAAAAAGATCAGAATTAACGTTTCAGGTCTAGTGATTCTTACTCAGAACGTATGGAAGCTGGGAAAATGTCGGTTTATATGCAGAAAATAGGGAGGGGGGTGGGGTAGGGAGTAAAAGATAGGATGGAGCCCGAAGAGAGAGAAGAGCAGTTGGATAGACAAAGGAGTTGATAATGATCAGGCTAGCAGGGTAAATAGCTGTTAATGGGGACTGTCAGTGGCTAACAATAAGCATTGTGTAATGGCAGGCTATGTGGTAACAAGGCCTGGTGTGTGGGGTAGGGGGCTAGGAGTTTAGGCCCGAAAATTATTGAACTCGATATTGAGTCCAGAGGGCTGCACGGTGCCCAAGTGGAAAATGAGGTGTTGTTCCTCCAGCTTGCATTGAGCTTCACTGGAACACTGCAGCAAGCCAGAGACAGAGATGTTGGCCAGGGAACAGGGTGGTGCGTTGAAGTGGCAGGCAACTGGAAGCTCAGGGATTTTTTTTGCAAGCGGAACATAGATGTTTTACAAAGCAGTCTACGCTTTGTTTGTGTAGAGGAGACCACATTGTGAGCAGTGAATGCAGTAGACTAGATTCTGGGAGGTACCGGTGAAGTATTGCTTCACCTAGAAAGTATGTTTGAGGCTTTGAGTACTGAGGAGGGAGGAGGTAAATGGGCAGGTGTTGCATACAGGGGAAGGTGCATATGGCGGGGGGTGAGGGTGTTGGGGAGTGAAGGAAGAGTGGACCAGGTGTCTCGGAGTGGATGGTCCCAGCGGTCATCTGTGTTGCACTGACTCTATGACTTCAAATATCTATCATACTCTATGATAGAACAAGGTTATAAATAATACACGGACTTTCATTTAATTGAATTAGGTTTATTGTCACCTGCATTCATGTGAGTAAATTTAAAAGCTTAAAAATCACCATCTTAGGTACAAAAGACCTAAGTACAACCTAAGCAGCCTCATGATGCAGGACTCGGAGCTCTGTGGTCTGTTCCCCAGGCCACACGCCGAGACAAACATCAACACCACCTTGAGCAACTTCAACTCAATCAACTCTTTGTTCACCTTGCACCTTGTTGGTCTTTCAGACCAAGGAACTGACCTTGACCAGGAGTTGCAAACTGGCACATTCCAAGGTCTAGGACTACGTGCTGAAGGACACATTAAAGCTTAGGGCAGCTGCCGCCAGGCGCAGTGGGGAAAGACCACTGCCTGAAGTCTTTCTGCCAAAGTTAATTCGGAGTCTTCCTACTATACTATCTAAATCGGAGTCTGTTCAGTTATTGGTGCCTCAAATGCATGCAAGTGTAGACTTGTACAAGAAAGAGATGCCTTTAGTTTGTTTGTTGGATAGAATCAAACTCCAATGTTTGTTTTTGCCTTGATTTGCTACTAAACTGCGTTTGTGCCTGAAAAGTCTTTTTAATGAATAAAGTATATTTTTGAAATAAAAACAAAGCAGAAAAATAAGGAAAGCAAAGTTGAACACTACAGTACTTACTATATAGTGGAAAGTAACACCGAGAATGTGAACCAACCTTTGCAGAGCCTACTGCCTCACTGGACTCATTCCCCTACCTTCAATTGCTATTGGGAACAGTTTCTGAGGAGGAGGTTTCAGCCTGAAGCTCACCGGATAACTTCCGCGTTGTGACGTAAAGGACAGGGCGGAGACTATCCCACACAGCCAATAGAAACCGAGGTCCTCCGCGGTGACGTCACCAGGTTCCAGGCTGCTTGTCTTTTATTGGCTAATTGGTACGCGCGTCACATGGTCATGGGGCGTTCCCGTACATGAGATCGACCAATGGGAAGCCCTGGAGGACCGGAAGGAGTCCGGTCCTCCTGCCAATCAGAGCTCCCCATTGTTTGAATGCGGAAGTTGGACAATGAGCTCCTGAAGCTGCCTGTTCCTGCCCAGTGAAGCTGCTGCTCCTCCTCTCTGTCTGAATGAAGATGGAGCTTCACCCCCAGACTGCAACTTCCTCCTCTGTCCAACATCTGTGAGCACAGCACTCTCTTTTCTTATTCTGGAGTTTAATTTTGATTTGTAGGAGCTGAAGGGAAAGGTATTGAATCCAGGGAGGGGACAGACTCTGGAAAGGTTAGCCCTGGTCTTTGTCTATTAAAGATATTGGCAGGCTTTGTTTCCTCAGCTTGGCAAATTCATTTATAGATAGTAGGACCTGCAGATGCTGGAGAATCTGAGACAACAAGGTGTGGAGCTGGATGAACACAGCAGGCCAAGCAGCATCAGAGGAGCAGGAAGGCTGACATTTCGGGCCTGGACCCTTCTTCAGAAATCATTTTGACAAGGCAGATGCTGATAAAATACTTCCTCTTTGTAGAATCTAAAACTTAATGACACAGATCTCAATGCAAGGCCCCCCCAATTTAGGCAGAGGTGAGAAATTTATTCTGTCGGGCAATTGTTACTTTGTAGAGTGCACCCTCCATCAGAGAGCAATGGGGGCTGGCTCGTTGAATGTATTCAAGGCTAAATTGAACAGGCTTTTGAGTGACAAGGTTATAAAAGATTATGAAGAAAGCCTTAAGGCCAGAACAGACGTGATTTTATTGAATTGCAGGGCAGGCCCACTCCTGCTCCGATATCTTACAACAGTGGCTAGAAGAGGAAGAAGCAAGTATAGAATTATATAATCCCTATAGCGGGGAAACAGGCCATTCAGCCCATCGAGTCCACACCGACACTCTGAAGAGCATCCCACCCCATCCCTGTAACCCTGCATTTCCCATGGCTAACCCACCTCGCCTGCACATCCCTGGGCACTATGGGACAATTTAGCATAGCCAGTCCACCCTGACATGCACATCTTTGTGACTGTGGGAGGAAACCCCATGCAGACACAATGGGGAGAATGTACAAACTCCACACAGATAGTCGCCCGAGGGTGGGACCGAACCCGGGTCCCTGGCCTGTGAGGCAGCAGGGCTAACCACTGAGATACCCAGATCTGTCAAACAACATGAAACAGCACTTTTAGGAAAATGGGGAGGCGGGGGTGAATATTAGGTAAAACACAGTGAGAACGGGGCGGGGGGGTCGGGGGGAGTGTGTGGAATGGAGATTTACAGCTATTAAGGAATGAGAGAGGCTGTTCTGAATTTCTGTCCTGAGTAGACATCAATGACTTGTCTAATCTTTTACAGGATATGAGAAGGGGGAGGATTTGCGGGACCTGAAATCTTGACCGAACGTCACATCAATATCTGACAGAGGAACCTGATTGGCTGGCACCTGAATATTTTTGAATCTTATGGGAGAAACTGTGCCTGGCCTGTCTGTTTGGAAGGGTTTCCAACATCAGAGAGAGAGAGAGAGAGGCGCACATCTGGGAGAGAGTGAACCGACCGGAGAAAGAGCTTGAACCGGTTATGCAGACTGGAAGGAAAACACAGCAATAGCAGCGGCAAGAGACTGAGCATGTACCGTGCGTGAGTTGTCCTTCAATTGATTGAAGCTGGAGAGAGAGAGACAGTCAGACACAGACAGAGAGACAGACAGACAGGCACAGTCAGATAGAGAGAGAGACAGACA